CTCTCTCTCAAGGGTTATTTTAAGAAGATATTTATAGTTTTCTCGTAAAATCAGATCCTTGAGTATGCTCTGCACCTACCATATTTTAGAATTTGTTGAGTGAATTTAACGTTGAGTTTTATGTTTTGGTTCTTACTATCTTTTTTTTTACTTTTTATTTTTCAGTTATTTAATTTTTTTGTAATTTAATTTGTGTCTTTTTTATACTAATTTAAGTGACTCACTTTTAAATTTTTTATATTGGTTTGATATTTGTAAAATTTTAATTTGAGATTATTATAATAACATGTTATAGTTGTCATCTTTATTTAAAAGCTTTCAATATTAATATGATTTGACAGAATTTTTTAAATAAAAATTCTAATTGTATTAAATTACGTTTATTAAAATAATTTGTAATTTTTATAATATTTAATAAAAATTGAATTATTTATATTTTTAAAAATATTTATATTTATATATAATTATAATTGATAAAAAGTAAAAATTCATATAACATATGTGAAGAAAACATTGGGTTTCAATTTTTTTATAAAAAAATTTTAAATTATATAATATTATAAATAAAAATAATAATAGTAAAAAAGAATAATTTTACATTAAAAATACTATAAATAATAATAGTAATAATAAATTAAAGGTAATTATTTCAATATAACAGCATTTTTAAAATCTTTTCCCATGTCTTATTAAATAATTTTTTTAATTTAAATAATCGTTAATTATTGAAGGGATTTTATTTTTTATATTGCCAATATTAATATAATCATATTTTGTTAATTTTGATGATTATAAAAACGAAATTAATTCAAATTGAGATTGAAAGTAATTATTCATAAACTACTAATTTAGATAATAAAATTATTAAAATAAAATGAATAGTCATTACAATTTTTAAAATTTTCTTAATATTAATGATAAAATTTTGTAAATTATCATCAATTTTTTACTACTTTGTTATCCTATGTCTTAAAACACCTTGTGAAAATAATTTTTTGGGATTCCCAATAATTTTAGTAAATCATTATTAAATTTATTCAATTAATTGTTTTATTTTTTATTTTTACTTTTTTTAAAGTAATTTCATAAATTCAATTCACTCAAAAAAAAAATTACATAAATAAAATAAGCCAAGCCTAAAGCTGATACGGGTGGGGCTCGAGAGGATCTGAAAGACCTCATCATTTGGCATACAACAAACGGCGTAGTTTAGACTTTTCTATAAGGCAACCCCTCTTCCTTTTTGGCCTTTTTGCTCGCCTCTTCTTCTCCCACTGACCCTAGCAGCCAAACCCTTTCTCTCGACCCTCACTCCCTTCTTCGGTCCTCGGCGCCGTCGCCTTCGCCGGCCTAGGCCTTTCCGGCAGCTTCACCCTTTTTCTTCCCTTTCCTCTTTTCTTCTTTTCTTCTCTTCCCCTTCCT